ATCTCCCTCTCTCTCCCTAACACATCCCCCTCTCTCTCTCCCTCTCCCCCTCCCCTCTGTCTCTCTCTCCCTAATACATCCCCCTCTCTCTCCCTCCCTCAGCTCGTACGTGAAGGCCATCAGCTGTCTCAGCACGCTCCGCCGCGCATGCCCCCCGGACACTCACCACCTGATCGACAGCGTGCTCGTGAACCTGGACGGCGCCCAGGAGGGCCTGCACGACCTGTGCGCGGACGACAGCATTATTGAATGTGAGTACATTATTGTGACGTCAGAAGTGCTGAATGTGAGTACACCTTTGTGACGTCAGAATTGTTGATAGTGAGTACACGCTATGACGTCAGAAGTGTTGATTGTAAGCATACGCTGTGACGTCAGAACAGTTGAATGTGAGTACATTATTGTGACGTCATAAGTGTTAAATGTGAGTGCATTATTGTGACGTCTGAAGTGTTGAATGTGAGTACATTATTATGACGTCAGAAGTGTTGAATGTGAGTACATTATTGCAACGTCAGAAGTAGTGAATGCGAGTACGTATTGTCATATTGTGACGTCAGAAGTGTTGAATGTGAGCATACGCTGTGACGTCAGAAGTGTTGAGTGTGAGTACATTATTGTGACGTCAGAATTTTTTAATGTGAGTACATTCAGTGACGTCAGAATTACTGGATGTGACATTATTGAACGTGAGTACATACTATAACGTGTTGGTTATGGAATGTGACATTATTGAATTTGAGTACATACTATGACATCAGGGTTATTGAACATGAGTACATACTGTGATGTCACTGGTATTACTTGTAAGTACATACTGTGACATCAGACTTGTTGAACGCGAGTACATTAATGTCCCCTCAGCATTTTAATGTGAGTACTTTATGTGACGTCAGCATTTTTTAAATGCAGGTACATTATTGTAACGTCAGCATTTTTTTAATGCGGGTACACTATTGTGACGTCAGGGTTATTGAATGTGAGTAAATTTTAGAAGCCTATGCGCTGGCATTACAGTATGTACTCACATTCACTAAAAGTATAACGCAATTATCATTATTATTATTACTATTACGGATTTGGATTATATTGTCATATCCTTGGCGTCAATAGCCTTGTGGTATTGCTTCCGAACCTGTAATCGTGAGATTAATTGTGAGATTGCGAGTTCAGAAAGGGTGTGTGTGTG